GGTCTGCATTCATTTATTTTGTTTCATTCTGTTTAAATTTTGTTTATTTAGCCTATATTCTCCCGCAATTCAGGGAAAAAATATTATCACTTTTTTACATAAATTAAGTGTTGGGATGGTAATGGTATATGCTTGTCCTCCCTCCCCCCCTTAAAACCCTGACTGTCTTCTTTAAGGCACAATAGGACTTCATAGAGTCCAATTTCATGTTCAGTTCAATTCAGTTAATTTATCTTTTACAACAGAGTTGTCCCAAGGCACATGCATTTATGTATAGGAGAGGTATGAGCAAAAACATTACGTTCTCTACAGTGGAGGAAAACTAATTGCTGAGTCTCAAGAGGTTATGAAATCTTTAAGTCTATAACCTGGTTCAGGTGTGCAGTTATTCTCATGACTTTTTTGTGTTAATTGTTTGCTGATCTGCGTTTTGAAGCCATAGATCAGACAGCTTGCATTGTGACATCACTGCAAGACAATGGCCAAAGACTCCCTTCATCTTGCATTTCTGTAGATTAATGGAAAGGCCTTTGTTGAGGATGCCGTGTTTAAGGTTAGCCTGTCTAGTGCTCTGCACGGGAGATTAAACCTCAATAGGGTGAGTCTTTTAAGGGTTATGTGGTCAAAACGGCACATGATGTGTTGATTCAAAATGTAGTCTTGAACAATGAGAGGCAAAGCAGAGATGAGTAGCAGGACCCACGTACCTGGATTGCTGTCTATCTCGTTTTTCTCAGCTCAGCTGTGAGTTATGCTGAGTGACTGAACGAAGGGGAACAGTTGGTCAGAGGACTGCATGGCGAGAGGCCGCAGGCCCATTCCCAGTCTCTGTTATTTAGGTCAGGTTCCACAAAAGGTACCAATGATGGGGGCCAGGGGCACTCACTGCCTGCCTGTTCTTAGTCTGCTTGATATTCATCTCGAGTGCATGGAGATGCTCCCCGTACTTTATTTTTAACCAGGGTGCAGGTATGCAGGGGTCTGTCCTGTGTGAGGGAAAAAATAAAGCTTTTAAACTGAGGGACAGCCAGGAGTGCAGCTTGGATGCAGCTGGGACACAATCAGTATGCAGGCAGGATTCAGGTAGAATTCAGGCAGAACGCAACTGGGAAGCATTCAGAATGCAGGCAGGACGCAGACGGGATGCAGGCGGGATGCAGCTGGGACACATTGAGAATGCAGGCGGGATGCAGCTGGTATGAATTCAGGATGCAGGCAGGACACATACTGAATGAAGCTGCGATGCATTCATGATGTAGGCAGGACACAGACTGGACGCAGCTGCGACACATTCAGGATACAGGCAGGACGCAAACGGGACGCAGGCGAGACACAGTTGGTACGCATTCAGGATGCAGGCAGGACGCAGATTGGACGCAGCTGCGACATTCATGATGTAGGCAGGGCGCAGATGGGACACATTCAGGATGCAGGCAGGATACAGAGGGGATGCAGGAGGGACACAGTCGGGATGTAGCTGGAATGCATTCAGGCTGCAGGCAGGACGCAGACGGCACGCAGCCGGGATGCATTTGGGATGCAGCCGGGACGAATTTGTGACTCAGCCGGGGTCCATCAAAGTTCTGCTGCCGTTCGCGCTCCTATTGTGTGTCCCGCCCACCACATGAGTGTCACATTGCAGAGTTCAGAGCGGGGTGGGGGAACAGCGGCCACACCGCCCTCCCTTCCTCCCATCCAACAGAGAAGTAATTAATTTGCTCCCATCTGAGAGCAGCCCGCGGGCCCTGGGCGCAGCTCGCTGGCGCCTGCTACACGCCGGGATGTGCCCACCAGCGGCGCACACGCCTGGGGTACCAAGTCACGGTCTGGAGTGACACAGCCGGTCCTGCTGCCACACCGAGGCCACCACAGTAGCTGAGGGTTTTCTGATGGGGACGCGTGTGATCCAGTTTTCTGGCATGGCCGATTTGCTAACCATATTTGTATGTTGTTGTATGTATTTGTAAATACTGTAATCAGACATGACTACCTTTGGATGTCATCTTAAAGCCCTAACTGTCCTCTTTAAGGAACTACAGGACTAATAGAGTGGCATTTATAGTATGAAATATGAGCAAAAACATTATGTCCTACCCAGAGGTCAACAATGAATTGCTGGACATTTCGCTTAGCTGTTGGGCCACTTTCCCGGTTAGTGGTGCAGAAGAACTGGGCCCTTCCTGGCACGGGAGCCCAGAACCTTCCGTTTATGAGAGAGCCGATGGCGCCTGTCGATTAAAAGTGACTAAATGAGGGAGTGGGGGGGGGCACGGAGGTACAGCTGGGCACCGTGACGTTAGCGGGCACGACCCCCGTGTTGCCCGGCGGATGACGTGACAGGCGAGGCAGGCGCGCAAGCGGATTAGCGGCCTCCTCTCATTACGGCGCCCCGGCTGTAATCGCGGCCGCGGTTACCCCTGTGATACCAGCCCACCTTTACTGCCGCGCCACTTGTGTGACGGGGGAAGCTGCCAGTTAATCTGCACCAGATGCGTTTTACTACAGGCGGGTTTTACACCATGGCCCAGCTGTTAGACGCTGTCCTCAGAACATCCAGAGCTAAGCTACCTAGATCAGTGGTTCTCAACCTTTTTGCACCGCGACCCAATTTTTACTGTGCCAGCTCAGTCGCCACCCTATATTAAGTATAGGTCTTAATTAACGCTGTGATCAAGCGCACAGTGCACTCTGCAATTTACACCAATCAATGCCTGTCGCACAAATCTGATTGGATGTGCCAGTGAATTTTAAATTAAGCATCTGTGTGGCTTCCTCAATTGGTTGAGGGTTCACTAGTTTTGTGCTAAGCATTTGCAGACCCAAAACCATGTTTATATCGGTTAATTCTAGGACTGGGACTGGGAAATCTGATCGTGGATCAGCATAGGAGCTTGCTGGTTTTCTAACTCCGCCTCATAACCCTTTCAGAACTTGCCGTGACCCATGCTGCTCTAGATGACAGTCTTCCAATTAGATGATGGGTTTTTAGTGGTTTTCTGTCTCTTGTTAGTGTCGATTGTTTGCAGGGGTGTACTGGATGGTAAATACCGGTTACGCACCTACACACCTTAATTACAAAACAGCATTTTTTTCTTCTCCTTATAACTGTTAACCCCCCTATAATAAGGTTGAAAATAGTAAACAGACCAAGTGCTTCTTCGTTTTTAGTTTTATTTATTTTTATTGTTCGTTAATTAGTTATCATCGAATACCATAGCCTGCAGAGAGACTTTGTTTCCAATGAAGCTAGCTGGCTAATAGAAATATGTTGGTGATGATGATGATGATGATGATGATGATGATGATGATGATTTTGGTTTCAGTGGTAGTGCAGCTCTCCATAGATGTTAAGTAGTTTATCTGCCTTTCTGTAATGGGACATAAGGGTGTATAGTCAGAGTTGGGCCATTCAAATCCAGAGAGTAAAAGTCCAGACCGGGATTTTGTTTCAACCAACCAGCTGAGTACCCTGTGACTGTGACTCTTTATACTCAACTGCTTGGTTGAAACAAAATCTTGGTCTGAACCTGAATTACCCAACTCTGTGCGTAGTTTATCCACCATTTTTTTTACCACTGCACCACTGATTATTTGTATACAAAAATAATCAAGATAAATGATGTTCCACATAGAAAATTACCCATAATTGCATCATGTGATCAGTTTTTAAATCACGTGTTATTATTGTAAATAAGAACTTTGATGTGTGTTTGTCTCAGGGATTGTATTGGTGGTCTGTGCATGTTTGTGCGATGACTGACGCCGCACGGTGCCTCTGTAAAACACCTTTTTGTCCCCATTCATTTGGGGTTGAACACTATGTTCCCAGGCTGCTGATTACACAGCTTTACACAAAGTCTCTTCTAACTGTGGGAACATTGCAGTTAAAGAGGGCTCACTTTTTGCCGAAAACCTCAGCTTATATAAGCTAAAGGAGGGTTTCCTCAATGTAAACGTTATTTTCTTTCATATTTTTCCATAAATAATTTTGGTGGGGGGTGCGTGGGGAGGTAGTTTACATGGAAACACACATTATAAAAAATGAAAAACATGAGTAAAGTTGAGGTCAGGAGGGCAGGGGCGGGGACGTGTGTGTCAGAGCCCTGGGGGTTAGCCTCCACAGCGATCAGAATGCCCTCCAATAATCCATCCAATGCTTTGGCAGGCACTATTTTTGCACACTTATTTGGAACACTGTCGTTTTCCACAGGGGTGTTGCTGCTTGTGTTGCCTCAGTGTGTTATTACCTCTGCGGCGTAAGTGTTTGGTGATTGGCAGCAGTACACAGTGGTGAAGGGGTGGGCAGGGCAGCCTTTTTTGATCAGGATATTGGTGGCACGCCCCAGCTTGCTGTAAACAGCTGGCAGTGGACTCGTGTTTGGGTTACCCGCGGGGCCTGCCATGACCGAGGATGCAGAGGAACGGCACACGTGTGCCCGTAGGTGCCAGTGACACAGGACACATGGGCAATTAGGACTGTCCTGACAGTAATCTGCATAATTGGTGTGCCTGCCCTCAGCACGTCTTTATAATACAAGGCAAACTGCACAGGAAGTCATGAATCCCAAGATTCTCTTGTGTGGCTCTGCTGGTGTTGGTGATTGGTGTTTCTCAATACCACGAATGCAAAGATCGTACTTGTGGTCTTGGCATGACTAGTCTCCTGTGTCCTTGATATTTGGGGTGGAGCAAGAACGACATTCGGAGATTTTTACCATCCTGTGTATTTCTGTTGCTGAACTTTGGAATCGATCTTCGACAATAGAAGATGACGTAAAATGGGTGCACAAGAACACAAGTATGTTCAAGTACACATATTGAGTCATACCCCTGGGGAGGTGGACAGTAACCCATCATACTCACTGACTCTGCTTCAATGGCCTAGAGGGACCCAGTCGAGCTGTTGGGTGATTAATGTCCCCTGGCCTCAGCCTGAACCCCCTCGCTCTCCCCTGATTTCCTGACTGACGGTTGACCCTCTCTCCACTTCCTCCCATCAGCGTGCGACAGCAGGCACTGGGGGCCCCACTGCAGCAACAGGTGCCAGTGCAAGAATGGCGCTCTATGCAACCCCATCACGGGCTCCTGCTTGTGTGTGCCGGGCTACCGCGGATGGCGCTGCGAGGAGCGCTGTGAGCCGGGCTCCTACGGCAGCGGCTGCCAGCAGCACTGCCAGTGCCAGAACGGGGCTACTTGCAACCATGTGACGGGGGAGTGCCGCTGCCCACCGGGCTATACCGGAGCCTTGTGAGTCCATTACCTTGCTAATGGTGGCAGCTAACAACACTGGTTAACAGCAGAAGCTAATGGTGCTGGCTAACAGTGTCAGCTAACAGCTGAAGCTAATGGTGCTGGCTAACTGCGTCAGCTAACAGTGCCAGTTAGTGATGCTGGCTGACAGCAGAAGTAAATTGTGCCGGTTAACTGCAGCGGCTAACAGTGCCGGCTTACAGCGGAAGTTGACAATGCCGGCTATATGCGGTAGCTAGCAGTGCCATTTAACAGTGCTGGCCAATACAGCAGCGGCTTATAGCACCGGTTAACAGCAGAAGCTAACAGTGCTGGCTAACAATGCCGGCTAACAGTGCCCGCTAACAGTGCCGGCTAACAGTGCCGGCTAACAGTGCCCGCTAACAGTGCCGGCTAACAGTGCCGGCTAACAGTGCCCGCTAACAGTGCCCGCTAACAATGCCGGCTAACAGTGCCGGCTAACAGTGCCGGCTAACAGTGCCGGCTAACCAAAACCCATCCAGGCCTCCTGCACACAAACTGCAGGAAAACCCTGCTTGATAGTAAATATAATAAATATTTGAGCCATCACAATTCTCAATTTTATTTGAATATGTTTTTTAAGTGGTCATCATTATTTCTCTTGAAAGATGAAACAGAAAAACACAATTAAACCTAACAGTTATAAAAAAAAAAGCTGTGCAGAACAACAATAACAACAACATAACAATAACATTTGCTCACACGAGAGGATTTAAGCCTGTCACTGTACCTTTCTCCTGTAACTGACAGTACACATCCCGTTTCTTTGTGATAATCATGCTTTTGAGCTGGTGGTGCGATGTTTGTAGAGGTCAGACCTGCACCGTTACTCATAAGAATAAGCAGGACACCATACAGGACTTTGTGTCACATGACATGGACTCTGATTCACCCTTCTCCCTCTCTCACTCCCAGTTGCGAGGAGCTGTGTCCACCAGGCAAACATGGACAACAGTGTGAGGAGCACTGTCCCTGCCAGAATGGGGGTGTGTGCCACCACGTGACTGGGGAGTGTACCTGCCCCCCAGGGTGGATGGTAGGGCCCCCCCCCCACGCACTCCTCCACATATGACCTGCTTTCCGTTACCGATGATGGTGAAATCACTTGAGTGATAAACACAAATAAGAACTCCTCGTAGTGCCTCTTTGCCCTTACATTCTTGCCCTCATTTTCATTGTGCCGTCATGAATGCTCTGGATACTATCACATTTCTGTCACACGTATTTGCTTTTTTTTTGTGCTGTGTTATATTTTCGAGCCCTCTGGCAAATCCGGGTGAAAGCAGCATTTGGATGTAGAGACACAAGGGCTCATTGTCCAAACTGCAGTCTGTCTTCCTGGCCTTTTTTGCAGTGTTTGCTTCTGTGCGACGGCTCACCCACATGGCTTCTCCGTCTCCGCAGGGCGCCGTGTGCGGGCAGCCGTGCCCGGAGGGTCGCTACGGGAGGAACTGCACGCAGGAATGCCAGTGTCACAACGGGGGCATGTGCATGTCGTCCACGGGGCAGTGCCAGTGCAGCCCCGGCTACATCGGGGAGAGGTGAGTCAGGGCCCTGCAGTGACAGAACTCAGCCAACAGGTGGGGCAGTCGTTAAGGCCTTGTACTTTTGACCTATGGGTGGCCTGCTTAAGTCACAACATGGGATTCGTTGTTGTACCCCATTCCTGTTAGTCGTCCCAAAAAAATTTCCGTTGTGACATCCTTCTGGACATAAGCCTCTGGCTCCACAGCCGTCTATAATGATGACGCAGAGATGGAAATACAGTAGAATATAAATTTTCTCAGACAATAGCAAAATTAAATTAGCACAAAAAATCTATGGTTAGGAGTTAGAAAAGTTTCCCTTAAGTGCGTTAAAAACTTTGGCGGAACAGTGATTACTGTGGATGTGATTATGTAATGCACGATGATTAAATTATCGAGTGAAATTTCAGTGCTGTCCTGTGATCAATATACATATAAAGAACAAGAATTGCTGAAATGTTCGTGATAAGGAGGCAGGCGAGATTTCAGGCATTAGCAGTGCTGTCGATGGTAGCTCTCCCTATGCGGGGAAACACTGGACTTTTGACCTGAATACTTGAATGAAATGTGAACAGGCCGACAGCGTGAAGGAAAAGCAAGAGAACAGATCGATTCCCCTCCCAGAATGGCAGCAAGGTCACAAGCTCTCATTATTTGGTGAAGCCAACTGTTCTTAATAGGGATCTGTGCTGTAAATAATAATCACAGCGCTGTCATCGGGACACGCTCTCCCCTCCCGCTTCTGCCAAAACAGAACAGGGATAATGTGGGTGTGAAGCATCTGCAGGTCGACACCTCACGTGCAAACAAAACAAAACTGCCAGCTTGTGCTGAATATATTTGCATTTATTTAGTAGATGTCTTCGTCCAGAGCGACGTGTTTTTTTATTTTGAGAAAATCGCATCAGCCAGTCCCTAAAGTAACTGGGGGCCAAGGGCCTTGCTCAGGAACTCAGTGGTGAAATCACTTTTTCAACCTTGGGATTTGGACCAGCAACCTTCCGATGACAGGCACAGTGCCCTAAGTCGATGAGCCATAATACTATAAATTGCAAAATGTGACGCAATGCTGCATAGTCACAATGTATAAGTGGCAGATTCAATAAATATGCCCACAGAGTGTCTACAGAATAGTTCCATCCATCCATCCATCCATCCATCCATTTTCTGAAACTGCTTGTCCTATTCAGGGTCGTGGGGGGTCCGGTGCCGATCCCGGAGGCTACAGGCGCAAGGCAGAGAAGGGGAGCCGCCTATTGCAGGGCACAGTGACACACCATTCACACCATTTTCACACCATTTTCACACCATTAATCTGCCAGGCACCTTTCTGGATTATAGGGACACCCAGCTGCTGCCTAAACGCATTATGTCGCTCCTTCATTTAGTCGCAGTATAGCAGCGACGCTCCCTCCTGCAAGTGGATGCAATGTAAACTGCATTGCTGCAACCGCTGAGGACAGCGTGACCCTAACCCTCACGGTGACAGTAGCGTGATGACGAGTCGCGAACTGAGAGCACAGGGAACAGGATTTGATCACCTTTGCCCCGCCTGGGTCTGTGACACAGCCTTTATCGTGCGCTTTTATGGATTTTACATGACATTATCTTACTTAGTGCATTAAAGTTACCACAGCATGTAGACTGGTGTTATGTACAGTCAGTCCTGCTACAATGCAGTGAGTGGCCCAGTGGGCTAAGTCTCTGTGACTGTGATCAGAAGGTTGTTGGTTTGAGCCCCAGCCTTGGCAGCACAGTCACATACCTGTGGGCCTTTAAACAAAGCCCTTAACCTCCAGCTCTCGGGGTTCACCACACATGGGCTGACCCTGCACTGTGACCCCCAAGCTGCGGAGAGCAAGATGGGATCGGCAAAGAGAATCATTCCAATATACCTGTTCTTGGCAAATAAAGCTTGTTTTTGTTTAATGAGACTGATATGTTTAGATTTTTAGAATATAAGACTTTGACCTGTGCAATGTGTGGATGTACAACAAGTTTGATAGCTGTGCCTGTCTTCAAATAGTGTTTCTGGTTTGCGTTGAAGCACCAGTAGTGCTTTCTCTCCAACTGAAGATCCCGCAAATACAAATGTGACATCAGTAACACCTGATCCATAGTGCAATATCACGTGTTGTAGCAGTACTGACTGTAGCCAGATTTCTCTCTGGGTGTGAATCCGGTGCGCTAGAGTCGTAACTCATAATGGATGAGCTGGCTAGTGCTTATGACTGAGAGGAAAAAATCCCAAAAGTATAGACCCCCCCACCCCACCCCACCCCCCATCCAGCCTACAGGCCTGTCATTTGATTTAATGAGAGCAAACCCAGATTGACACAGTAAACAGCGTGGTGGTGAGGCTGACTCCAGAATTAGCCTGTGTTTGCCCCCCTCCCCCACATGTAATCCTGTTGGTTGGAGGGGTACAGCATGAGGCTGGACCAGGCTCCTTTGGGGGAGGGGCGTTTAAAACAAACAAAATCCACAAGGACTGTCTAGTACTTGTATCAGGCACAAGAAACAACTGCCATTTTTAATCAGCATCCTTGATGAGCAGTACAAGGGAGCACAAAGCCCCCCCAGCTGACAGTGTTTCTGTTATAAGCAGAGTCCTTAAGAGACATTCCAGTCACGATATGACGAAGTACCGTTCCCAAGGCTGTGAAGACTCCGCGGAGCTGCGCGTTTAATTAAATGCTTAACTGGACTTTCCATGCACAGGAGTCAACGAGAAGCTTCCAGGATCCCTGCCAGCTGTTTTGTGCGAGTGCTTAAAGAATAATAAAGTTAATTATCAGTATTATAAGTTCATATGAAGGCAGAGAGGACAAAGTATAGCAGAAAGAGTCACCCCCCCCCCTAAAAAAAAATGAGACAGCTGTGAGATGTCTGGCAGAGGAGCAGGAAATCACTGAAAATATCCTGGGGTGAAAACGCGACCAGCAGACCGTGGACAGCTTCCAGGTCGGGCCAGAGGATGCGTCCCGTGGTCTGCAGCAGATCAGGCCGCAGCCCACTGGAATGGCCCCAGAGGCCTCCCCGCCTCCCCCCCTGGATACCACACCATGGTCCTCGGCGTAACCGTAATTCTTGAATAGCAGGGCTGGAATCTTCGGAGGGACACTGCTGCTGTCCTGTTGAGTAACCTGCTGTCCTCAGCTGGTTTGTCTCAGTTGGCATTAAAGTGACTCCCAATTTGCTGTCTGATATGAATTACGGATTGAACACTTCAGACTGATATTACCCATATATATATGTTGTTGTTTTGGATGGTTTTAAATGCTGATCAGGACTGTGTCTCTAAAGCAGATCCAGTGCTGACAGTGACCCCCCTACAGGGGCGCAGGGGTCGGTGCTTGTCACAGTGTGCGAGGAAACGGGCCGATGTTTCGGCACACCCCAGCTGCTTGGCCTGGTGGCTTCCGGCAGGCTGGGACGTCAGCCCAGTGGCCCATAATTACCAGAATCAGGAGGAGCGTGCACCATATACTTATCCAGCCAATGAACCTACAAGAATAGAAATACAAGTGTGCTTTTATGAGTTAATAAGGGCTTCTGGAAGCGCAGACGTCACAGCTGACTCTGGCTAGGCCAGGCCGCCATGTCTGGCCACACCCGCTGGGTTGGAAAATAGTCAAGGCGCAGCCCAGTGTGGTGAGACGGCAGAGCAGAGCGTGCAGAACGTGAGACTGGGGGTGGATCTGCACCGGCAGCACCTGTCCAGCAGGGTGTGTCGTTGGCCGGCGACCGAGGGTCACATTATCTGTACTAATCCTGAAAGAAGCCATTTTCACATTCGAGGCAAGAGATTAAACAGCCATTAAGGTCATAGGTGAGACACTGCTGACTGGCAGCCAGCCAAACTTGGACTGGCTCGCTGTCATTCAGGTGACAGATTGGAGAAGATGACAACAAGTGATGCAGATTTACACTTTTCCAGTTGTACTGATTCTTTCAGATGCCTTTGCATCATTAAACCAGTTGCTGGTGAAAGAGAGGGTATTCCGATTGTGAATGAACTGAACGATGAATCACTCATTGAATGAACTAAACAATTAATCACTCACTGAATGAACTGAACAATGACTCACTCACTGAATGACTGAACAAACTGAACAATTAATCACTCATCGAACAAACTGAAGAATGAATCACTCACTGAATTAACTGAACAATGCCTCACTGGCTGAATGAACTGAACAAACGGAACAATAAATCAGTCATCAAATGAGCTGAACATACGGGAACATTTCGTGCTTAAATATCTCCTCCGAAAAGCATGAATTGTTCTTGAACTAGAGTCGCTTCATAGTAACCATGTAGGTTTCACAGTATAAGCTGTCAGGTTTCTTCGCGTTTCTGATCTTTCTCCCCATTATATAGGCGGACAGCTTCGGGGGCTGTTAGGTATCAGGCCACATTCTGGGCTTGCTGTGACCGACATGTGGCAGCAAGGTGGTGTGCGGGGGGGTGGACTGGGCCCCGGATCTGGCTCCTGAGTGTGACGCGGAAGGTGTGGCCTGGGGCGGGAAGCGACACGGTGCTGCGACGGGGCCCCATCTGTTCGCGCGGCACTCGGAGGGGGTGAGCGAGTGGGAATAAGCAGATAGCATGACGACCGTCAGCGTCCCTGGAACCCAAGGATGGGAGAACCAACTGTGCCTTCATCAGAACTGCAAAGTGAAGCCAGGTCTGCCCAGTACCAGGTCCTTACTGAGATACTGCTCAATTACAGCAGCTCTGTCACCAGGAATGGGCAACGATCCCAGCAAAATACTGAGAGACGCTTGCGGACAGCTACCCTAAGCGTTTGATACAAGTTAAGCAATTGAAAGGCAATATCACCATATAGTAACAAAGTGTTTTTGAATTTTTGATCCACTGTAAATCTGGCATAGTGACTAAAAGCAGGTAGATTTGTGGAGTGCGGGGTGCTGGAGGTAGAATTTGCCGGGAATGGCGCTACCGGGCGGCGCTAAGATTTACCGACCTGGTGGGACAGGGTTGTCGTGGTACAAGTTCTTGACAGCAAATTTTATCGCCGCTGGATAGCGAAATGACAGATTTCTGGGACATCTTCTGCGGGGGTCAGGGAGCTGCTGTCAATTTGAGGGAGACTCCCGGACTTCCGGTGGGATGTCTGAGTGTAGCTGCCAGGCGATACGGTAGCAGGACGCTTCAGAATAATCCAGCAAGGTCACACAGCCTTACCAGGGACGTGAAAGCGGCATGTTTGGTGACACTCTGCTCCCTCGGTCCCCCTCGCCTCCCAGGTGCCAGGAGGAGTGCCCCGTCGGCACCTACGGTGTGGCCTGCAGCCAGACTTGCCTCTGTGCCAATGGCGCCAAGTGCTACCACATCAGCGGGGCGTGCCAATGTGAGGCAGGCTACACCGGGGGGCGCTGCGAGGTGCGCCTCTGTCCCGACGGCATCTACGGCCTCAAGTGTGATCGCCACTGCCCCTGCCACGCCCACAACACCCTCAGGTGAGACAGCGCCCCCTACTGGAGGCATTATCAGCATGCAGCTGTACATTTTTAATCTGCCATATTTCTATGTATTTAATATATTCTGTTGACTTTGTACTAATCAGAATTAAGACATTTTAATGTTGTTAGTGTTCGTTTTCATCAGTTAATATGATGCAATGATATACTGTATAATATCATTATAATTATAATTAATGTTTCCATTAAAAGGGATTATATATTCTTCATTGAAAACTTATGATAAATAAGTTTGATTCAAATATCTAATAGTTAAATTGAAAATAGTAAAATATAAACACAACAAAAACGCGAAGTCACTGAAGCTCAGTAAAATTGACATTAATTTTTATGCGACCTCACACAGCACAGTTGCCCTAAGCCACTTAACAAGAGTTCAGTTCAGTTATATAATTATATAATTCATCATCAGAAAACGGTTTTGTTATGCGAGCCCTAAACACAAGGGAGCGTGACTGATAACGCTGAGAAGAGTCACAGCTGTAAAAGCCAGTGTCACCAGCGGCAGCTGCTGTGGCCGCACACCAAAGGCCCGTTTGGACAGTGCAGCCCGGCCGTGTCCTCGGGTCACACAGCTGCCATTGTGGCCCAGACCACACGGCACAGCTGACGGAGGGGTGCGTGTCACACGCGCGTGCGTGCAGACAGCTGGGGGGCCCGTGCCTCAACGGGGCCGCTGTTTCAGGTGAAGGCAGCTGCCACATTCCGCAGCCTCACTCTCACACCACAGACTGAGGCTCTGCCAGAGACTCCCTCCACAGGTGGATAGTTCAGGTCCAGGAAGTAAAAATCCAGACCGAGATTTTGTTTCAGCCAACCAGTATAAAGAGGCTCTCAGGGGGGGCATTTTGACGCAGTGGTTAGCAGCTCAAGTCGCCGTCATGGCTCCATGTGTGTGGAGTTTGCATGTTCGTCCCGTGTCATTGTGGGCTTTCCCCCAGCTACTCCAATGTCCCCCCACAGTGGAAAAACATGCTGAGGCTAATTGGAGTGAATGAATGAGTGAATGATGTTGGTGAGCTCTGTGTGAGTGAATGGTGGTGAGCACCCCGGCAGGAAAGAATGGTGGTGAGCACCCCGGCGTGAGTGAATGGTGGTGGTGAGCCCTGCGTGTGTGAATGGTGGTGGTGAGCCCTGCGTGAGTGAATGGTGTTGGTGAGCTCTGTGTGAGTGAATGGTGGTGAGCCCTGCGTGAGTGAATGGTGGTGGTGAGCCCTGCGTGTGTGAATGGTGGTGGTGAGCCCTGCGTGAGTGAATGGTGGTGGTGAGCCCTGTGTGAGTGAATGGTGTTGGTGAGCCCTGAGTGAATGAATGGTGTTGGTGAGCCCTGTGTGAGTGAATGGTGGTGGTGAGCCCTGTGTGAGTGAATGGTGGTGGTGAGCCCTGCGTGAGTGAATGGTGTTGGTGAGCCCTGCGTGAGTGAATGGTGTTGGTGAGCTCTGTGTGAGTGAATGGTGTTGGTGAGCCCTGCGTGAGTGAATGGTGGTGGTGAGCCCTGCGTGAGTGAATGGTGGTGGTGAGCCCTGCGTGAGTGAATGGTGGTGGTGAGCCCTGTGTCTCGGTGGATTACAGTCAGGTCTTTTGGGACAGTTTCCATCATGCTTAGACTCTGTGGCCTGATACCTAACACTGCAACCCTGACCAGGATAAGTGGCTAGAACAGGGTTCCTCAAACTATGGCTCCAGCCATTTAACTGGCCCTTTAACCAGCATCAGTGATGCATATAGTCTGGGCCGCTACACATTGTTTCAAAGTAATATGCATTGATGTGTAATGAAAAACGCAGCAAACGCAAGCAAATGTGGCCAGTATCTGTAGAAACATTCAAAATCACTCAAACTGCTACATAATGGCATAAATGCGTATCTGTTATTCAGACCTCCTGCCTCTCCCAGAAATTGACAGCAGCTTCCTGACTGATGTGCAATATCCCAAAAATCTGTTGTTCCCAGAGAGAACTTTTATTACCACAATCTGTGTCCCATCTGTTTGGCAAATTTTACCTCCTCCCGCCCCCCCCCCCACACACTTGGAGAGTGTCTGATTTTTAATACGTCATACTGTGGAGTCCGGAATTTTGAAAGGAAGTACTCTTCTGGGTTATACCCAAATCTCAGACGCCATGCGCTCAAAATGACAACTTTTTGGTAGCATGTACATCTGTAATCAGACCTTTTCGAGATTGAAACATCTCAGATCTCCAGCCAGATTTAGACTCACTGACATACACTTGCATCACCTATTTCACAGTGACAGACATGGTACCTTGTCAGTCAAAAGCAAGCCCACAGCTGAAAATAACTGAAATAATGCTGTGCATGGTTGGTTAAAAATCTTTATTTTACATAATGCTTTATTTAGTCTTGTATTTGATAAAAAAAAAACAATAAATTTGTGGTAAATCAAAAATAACGGTCAGTAGCGTGCGGAACTAGTGTCCATAGAAAGGTAACATTGATTTTTTTCTTTTTCACCCACTGTCTGACCCCCTGAACGTTTGAACATCCTTTGGCTAAAAGTTTGTGGACCCCTGAGGTAGAGGATGGCTAGATTGCTGGGTGGGTGGATGGATAGACGGTTGGGTTCCCCTTTCAGGTGTAGAAAACAGCAGGCCCATTTTCTCGGTTGCTTGTGTGTGTAAAGCATATTTTTTCTTTGCCATGGAATTTTAGAAATCCTAGAAGTGTCTTTATGTGGGATGGGCATGTGTCCGTCTATCTGAAGCTGATGTCAGAAAGGAGGTGAATCCAGCATATTGCTGACGTTCTAAAACACCAGCAACTGCACGTGTGACACGTTCTGTATTTGTCCTCTATAACTGGTCCAAAAAAAAAAAACAACCTTTTCTCTTATCCGTTTTGGTTTGATGCATGTGAAGTTGGTGTCCCCACAAACCTGTGAGGAGTGACAGACATGAAGAGGGTTTCTGCAGCCCAGGGGGGCTTCCCACGGCGATTCGGGTCCCTTTTAAGCACCTGCCTCTTCTCTCCCCCTCCCCCCAGTTGCCACCCCATGTCTGGCGAGTGTACCTGCCGGCCCGGCTGGTCGGGGCTCTACTGCAACGAGACGTGCGCCCCGGGCTTTTTTGGGGAGTCCTGTCAGCAGGTGTGCCAGTGCCAGAACGGGGCAGACTGCCACAGCGTCAGCGGCGAGTGCGTCTGTGCCCCGGGATTCAAGGTAACGTGCTGGGCACGGTGACCCCGACCGCACGGTGATCCCGACCGCACGGTGACCCCGACCGCACGGTGGCCCCGACCGCACGGTGACCTTGACCGCACAGTGCCCTGACCGCACGGCCTGATGCAGGACACACACTGTCCCTACGCCGTCCTGCTGGACATGGGGTTGTAAATCAGGCCCATTTGTCCGGTGTGTGTCGTGATGAGGGCTTGCCATTCCGGCCACAGCCGGCTCACAGCAGGGCCCAAACTTCCTTAGCGTTTTGTTGAGGCTCATGCTGGGTAGAGGTGATTTCGGAGACAGACTTTTAAATGCTTCCTCTATCAGCAACATTCCCACTGCAGGGATCCAGCAGCCTAACTTCCCCTTACCCTGACTGGGGGGGGCGGGGGGTGATTGCTGTCAAACCCACAATGAGTGATATGACCCTTCCATGGACTTGATACTATGATACACTCAAGCATTTCTGTGCAATGACACTACACCCAGTGAGGTGCCCCCAGTATTTAATTTGGCTTCATTCACAACAATAAATAGATCTTTGGATTTAAATTATTAACTTGTGCCCCCCCCCCCTGCTATCATGCCCCATTGTCTATAACTCACTGTAGACTTGTAATTATCTATCTATCTATCTATCTATCTATCTATCTGTCTATCTGTCTGTCTATCTGTCTGTCTGTCTGTCTGTCTGTCTGTATATATATGATGTTGATAGTCGGCTCTGTGTGGCTGCAGGGTGCCGACTGCTCCACGCCATGCCCGGCAGGGACCCACGGGGTGAACTGCTCCTCGCCCTGCAGCTGTAAGAACGACGCTGTCTGCTCTCCGGTGGATGGTTCCTGCGCCTGCAAAGCAGGTGTGTATCTGGGGGATCGTCTGGGGGACAGCCAGCATCTTCCCTGAGCAGCGGCAAGACGTCGACATTAAGGCAGTGGCGATGGGGGGGATGAGAAGCTAAGAAAGCTCAGGGCTGCAGAGGCTCACCTTTTACACTGGTGAGCTTTTAGATAAACCTGAAAAGATAAAGCTGAAGCTCTGCATCCAAGCCGGAAGCACTCTGAAAATGGCTGCATAGGCTGATTCTATTCTCAAAACAGGATTATTATTTTTTACAGAAACACAATGCAATTGTTTTAGTTCATACCCAATTCTAGATTATCTGCACATCGACAGATACTGATGAAACATTTGCTTCAGGATTTAATCAGGTTTAATTGAGATGAACCTGCAGAAAATCCCAAACTTTCAGAAACGCTTCTTAATGGGGGTAAAACCTCCATCCGCATGCGGGGCAGCGTGTGACTCAGTGGGCTAAGCCGTGTGCCTGTAATCACAAGGTCGCTGGTCTACTTGAGCAAGACCCTCATCCCCCAGCTCCCTGGGCGCCGCTACACGGACAGCTTGCTCTACAAAGAGCAAGTTGAGGGAGGCGTAAAAAGAATTTCCCCACGGGGATTAATAAAAGTGTCAATTTTAAACCAACGCCAGTGTCAGGACAAGAGGCCAGAAAGCTTAAAGTGTTTATTAGCTTAGCCATTTAGCTTAGTGCTGAACAGGCCTGTACAGGTGACACAGTGAGGTGCCAGAGGGGGGTGTTTCATACCCCAGGGTTGTGGGTTCGAATCTGGCTTCAGCTTCCTCCTACAATCCACCCCCCCAGAGGACAGTGGTGTGAGAGTGTCCCCCATGACAGACTGGCATCCCGTCCAGTGTGTACCCTGTTTGGGCCGATGCCCTCTTGCAATAGACAGTTTCAATAGACAGTTTTTGAAATGAGTTGGCTGGACACAGCTAGCTATTTAAGAGGGGCACCCCATGTATCTTCCTCTGGATATAAGTCTTATTAGGTTCTTGCTTTGTTTGGAAGATTGTTGGTGTGTCTCTTGCTCCAGTACTGCTTTCTTTCACCGGAAGCTCAGCGTAGCACTTATGCCTAGTCGACACAACAGCACATATGTTTGTAATGGGCAATTTGCTATATCACTTATGACAAAAGGTCCAACAGTTGGATACCTCTGTGGATCACAGGCCAAAATCCATGTTTCCTGTTGAGGAACAGCTGGTCTGATGTTCCCCTGTTTTCTCTGTTGTGGATGTTCAGGTTGGCATGGTGTAGACTGTTCCATTAACTGCCCCAGCGGCACCTGGGGTCTGGGCTGCAACCTGACGTGCCGCTGCGGTGACGGCGGGGCCTGCGACGCGCTCAGCGGCACATGCACATGCGCACCCGGGTGGAGAGGCGAGAAATGCGACTTCCACTGTGAGGTGAGGCACAGGCAGCGGTGATGTGGCCAAATGCTCTTAGTCAGTTCTGAAAACAAACCTTCTGGCTTTTGGTGACCTGTCAGGATGCTGTGCTTGTGTTTGGAAGGTTGCTGGCTCAAGACCTAGACATGGCAGACTGATTTTCTCGCTGGGTTCTTGAGCAAAGCCTTTAACCCACAACTGCTCCAGAGAATGTCTGAACCTGCTCCCTCAAAAATGTGTGTTGCTTAGGATCAAAGTGTCTGCTGAATAAAAAAGAATGTAAGATGCATTGGGATTGCTAGTGCCAATTAGCTGGGGACCTACCCAAACTACCTTTGTTTAAGCCTCTAACAAGCACATTGATGTTTGGATTAACAGGGGCCAGAATTCCTTTGGTCCACTGTTGTACTAATTGCCCGCCTAATCTGCTTTCCTCTAAAATCTTTGGAATTGGAAAGTCAGGAAACTCAAGTTTACTGTGCTATAGTTGTACCGTGATTGGAAAGCAGAGATTCTCGGTATGTGATTACAGCATCGTAATGGATCAGCAGAAGGTTATTAAAGAGGTGACAACAAACGCCCCAGACAAATATGACAAGCACAAAGTAATCACTGTATTATTACAGAATTTGCATAATTGCATTGTAATGTGGGGGAATCACTGCTCCCTAGTGAATACTTATTTCTTTATGCAAAGGAATCACTGTCATTTTAATAAGGCCAGAGACAGTGAAGCATTCTGGGAAATGTACAGCATGGAATGTGAGCCATACTGTGAATTTCTAGGAAGGGAAGTATGGAATGGACTGCAAGCAGGAGTGTGACTGCAGCCACGCCGAAGGGTGTCACCCTGCCACTGGGTACTGCCACTGCCAGGCGGGCTGGACAGGTGAGTGAGCGGCAGAGGGCGGAGTCCACATCACCGGCTCTGTGGTCAGGACCTTGGGCAGACAGACATGCTTAAGATTCTGGAACATTCACACTACTGTGTATCTTACCAGCCTGGAATTAGTGGAATTTGTCCATCCACCCATCCATCCATTTTCTGAAAGCGCTTATCCTATTCAGGGTCACGGGAGGTCCAGAGCCTATCCCGGAGGCTACGGGCGGAAGGCAGGCAACAACCCAGGGCGCACGCACACACACACACACACACACACACACACACACACACACCATTCACTCACATAAGCGGAATTTATCCTTGTGGAATTTATGGCGCTACTAAGTAGAGTCTTTATGGCGTTTGGATCACTTAAGCACGTGGATTGTTTGCTTTACTTCAGAATCACTCAAAAGTGTTTTGGCCATTTCTATGAAAAAACTTAGAAAGATGGACATTTAAATTTAGCTACAGAGCAGCAAACGTGAACATTGTGTTCACCATCAGTAAATCCCTGTCATCTATGGCACAGCTTGTTAAAGGCTCAGAACATCATTAAACAAACTGCTCCTTTACACGTGTTGATAAACCACCTCATCAGAGTGACTTTAGGGCAGGGGTCCCCAACCACCGGGCCACGGCGAACGGATAACAGAGGCTGTTTTACTTTGGAAAACACTTCCATCTGTGGCTTATAGGTGGCGATAAGGCAACACACTTGGTGATTACAGTAAAATCCCATTATAGTGAACTTGTTTATAACGGAATATCGTCTATAACGGACGAGGTACGCTAGTCCCGGCCGTGTGCCTTTAAGAACATGCAGAAAAAGCATCGGATATAGCGGACTCGCATATAACAGAATTTCGCTTATAACGGACAAACAATTCGGTCCAATGGGCCGCTTTTGGCTGTAGTTTTGTTGCATTTGTTTACAGTTGGATGTTGTTTTTGATACAAAGGCCTGCAATGATGCCTCTTCCCTTGTAAACTGGAAGTCAGTTGCTTCACTGTCTTCTGTGGGTTATTTCAGAGAACAATTAATTGAAACAATGCAGTTCCACTGAGCAATCAGCTTAAGTTATCTGCCTTATCATGCAAGGTAATTAGGCATCAAAGTCAATGGGCTCAAATGAAATATAAACACCAATTGGTTTTCTATTCTTTCTTTTCATTTTTTCTTTTCATGTCATTCTTTACAAACTGGAAGAAAATGCCTTTATGCCAGGGGTATTCAACTAAAATTTAAAGAGGTCCAGTTAGAGAAAAATTCTTGAAGCAAAGGTCCGGAAGATCATAATGTCTGACTATTTAATAGTGTGATATATATTTAAGTAGCCTATTAGTTGTACACTGTATGTAATCAGTACCTGACTGTCAATCAAATTAATTCAGTACAATTCAAAAACGTTTTGACATTATTTATTGTCACGTGACATAGAACTTCGGCCAGCTGGCTGGAGTGAGATTTTCAATTCGAGATGTCTGCACACATGTAACAGTTCTTACCTTGTAAATAGTCTGCTTTTGTATTTAACCGTGTAAATACACTTTTGTTAATTTTAGGTTTTATAATGGAATAATATAGATTTGCCGTAAGATTTCTAGCATGAGTCTGAAAGCGTGTCATGCCAGATGCTTGAGATTTGGCAACCCTGAAAACGTACATTTTTTGTTTCACATGAGTTTATTTATATAACAGATAACATTACTTTATACATATGTTAAAATGCAGAAACTTCAACGAACATGCAATCAACAATAAACTACGTCTATTTATCCAACGTGTTATATAATACATATTGTATTTGAAAACTTTTCAGCGTTACGATTTCAGGAGAGCGTAGCCACTCTGTTAGGAACATTACGCTTTTTGTTTGCGGGTGTTAGCTTCGCTGCTGCTATTAACACTAATGGCACATTAGCGCAGACAAAGGCTGCATACGCCGAACTATATGTCTTGCTTGGCGGTCAAAGGCGTTTGACGTTCATTGGCGTGGAAAATGCCGGTTCTACTGCTAAACCACTACTAAAAGACTACAAACGCTGCGCCGGTTAAAATAAAAGCGCCCCGTCAGGTTTTAAATAATAACTAAATGTTTTGGCTGTCAGTCCGGGTCCGTATGGGACAGCTTCTGGGTCCGGACCCGGACCGCGGTCCGCCTGTTAGTGACCGCTGCTTTATGCCATTAGCAAAATGCCAGCCTGTAGTCCCTTGATAATATCACAATTCCCAGCCCACGTCCATCACAAATCAGTAGTCCCGCCTTTATTACATGTTTTCACACGTCATATCACATCACATTATTTCCCATCATGCTGATATTTCTTCACTTTCCTTTGGGATCATTAAAAGTTCTATGTATCTGTCTGTGTGTGTGTCTGTTCTAAACTTGCAGATCCAACAGCGACACTATACTGCGCTATAATTAAGAGTGAATGGCCATTTAAAAACGGAGGTAGAGGACCTCACTGATTGAGGCAGATTTCTTTAAAACGCTCCAGCACTTGGATGCTTCCTTTAGTGAGTCTTAGCTTCGAATGGGCACAATTACCATATACCATTAGTAACCGCAAAGGAAGGCCCTGTCTTCCAGAGTAAATACACCGATAGCCCAATCCCATCAGCCCCACAGGCAGCTTTGATTTGGCTCTAGTCGCAGGTTAGCCTGGGATGCGCTGGTGAGTTTGTCCCACTCCGGTCCAGATGCGGCCAGAATACCGATGGCTCCACACAAGGCACCGGGCCTCGGAATACCGCGGCATTTCTCTAGACCTCCTTAAGTGGAGTTTATCGCCAGCATTCCGCCGTCGCCTAGCAACGCGCGCAGCCTTTCAAAGGGCCCTTTGTCCCGCATCCTGGCACGGCGCTCCATCACAATGCCGCTTATTGGCTAACAGAGGGCCAAAACGGCGCAGTGAGACGGCGGCTAACTTTTAATAAAGAGGCGGAATTATATGGTTTAAGGCGTGGGGCCGCTTAAATGCTAGATGACTGTCAGTCAGAGGGAACGATTCCTTGTGGTGCTGCTGTAGGTATCGTAACTGTTCAGAGTCAGCGGCGCTCAAGTACATTTTCAGCGATTCTCCCACGAGTCACCCGCTTTGTTTCCACCTCAATGGGAAAGTGTAACTGAGAAAAGCAGAACACTTTCAATTGTGTCTAATCTCCACATCGAAAATACCCCCCAACCGCAAAAGAATTCTAGGACCACAGCGTCCCCAAAGATGTCTCAGTATTCTTTGTATGAATGTTCCGAAAATGTTTTTACTTCGGTATATAGGAGTAATTCTTGTCCTGGAGTCAATAAATCTAATGCTTAATACTTCTCCTTCAGGGTCTGTTGATAAACATTTCTCATGTTTGACTGTGCAATGTGTCTTCCCATATTAATATTCCATATCAAATTGATAACAGGGCATGGGAACAATGTAGCCACACAGACAGTGGTCTACCGCCTGCCAGATTTCCTAGGCAAAGTAAATCGCATTACTCATTTCTCACAGAGTGTTACCCGAAAAGAAAAGGAATCGTTTTGAGAAGGCAGTCGAATTACTGACTTGATTTAACACTATAATGAGAGAGGAAAATCATTAAGAATCATTACTTAAACGTAATGCATATTTAAAATAGATTTTTCATTTTATCTTTAAAAACAAAAAACAAGAAGGGAATGAATTAATGGCGTGTGATTCTGCTAGCTCGTGTTACGTGCGGCACAGAACACTCTCCACTTTGGCTTTAATGCCCGGTTGAGCCAGATAAGGCCGATTTTGACACCTACTGGATTAGATCAGCTCTGCACATTGACATTCTCTGGCCAGCGTCTGGTATACAAGCCACGGCAGTCAGGAAACGTATCATGCTAATGAGCGGATTAGGCGTTCCGGTGAGTCTCCCTGTAGCCACTCAAGCTTGTTGCCTTTTCAGGATCAATGATTTTTTTAGAGCAAAAGAACAAGCATGTGATTTAAATAAATTTTTCTGTATTTTTCCTTAATCTTCTTGCCTTTTGTTCCACATTTTTGCAATGGAATGAGACTATTGTGCTGACCTAGTTCTCCTTCAAGGGAGATTAGATCAAGAAAGGGTCTTAAGACTTTTTAACTATATCATTTAGTCTGCTGAAAGGAGGACATTATTCACTACATATAGCTTTAGTAAAGTGTTTTTTTCCCTTCTTTTTATGTTTAGGGTTCGTGCCTGTAAAAAACAGAATTCAATGCTGATAAACAAATAATTAGTTTGGTTTTATGGCACAGAACATGCTGGTGTTAGAATTAGTCTGTGCTTCTCTAGTTTCTTAGAAGGATTTCAGATGAAGTTTCAAATGGACGTTTGGACAATTGAAGTTGTCCACTAGTATGTAGCTGTAACCAGTAGAAGTACAGATAATCTATTGCTGAAGTAGTGCAGAGTATCAAACTAACAGACAATCGATTGGGGTCTGCTGGTTTCAGCTGTACTTTCCACAGTAATCAAGCCAGTAAAATGCCTATATGTACCCGGTCAGTTAATTGAGGATATATTGCATTCTGGGTAATTATGCAGTACCTGTGCCACACAGTTGTGTATAAATTAGTGCAATGTACCGTGGTATTAATGGAATGCCAAGAAAGGTGTTATAAACTACTTTACATCTATATATCCAGTGTTAATTCTGATTGTTTCTGTTTGTTTATGGGTGATTAAACATGCAGCACATATGGACTGGATCTGACCTGATTGGCTGCTTGCTTGTCTTCCCAGGAATCCATTGTGACAGTGTCTGCACTGAGGGCCGCTGGGGCCTCAACTGCACGCTACCCTGTAACTGCAAGAATGGGGCATCCTGCTCCCCTGACGAGGGCACGTGCGAGTGTGCCCCCGGGTACCGGGGAGCCATCTGCCAGCGTAGTGAGTGCACCTTGGCACCGTTGTCGGCCATACCCAAAACACCGCCTGCCAATCGTTCATCCTCTCAGGGCTCCACTTTCCTGCTGCAGCAGCTCACCAACAGTCAGCATGACAAAATAGTGTCAAATTTAATGCCTTCAGCAGTCAGGTAACAAGTCAATGAGCACAGCCACAGAGAGACAGCTACCCTGAATGATCCTGGGACACTCATTAGGACGCAATAGTCATCTTTCTCTGCCCTTCTTCTATTTAATTTCCCATTAAAGTCACACTCAACTAATTGAATTATTCGATTAATTATTTTTATAGCACTCTTTCCAGGACAGTTGATCCTAGATGGCTGAAAATAGAGTGTAATGACAGTGTTATTAACAGACTCAAATTAAAGTTACAGCTGCACACTCAAATAATTAAAATCAATAAAGCAGTTAATCAATTAGCCTATATTTGAACGCTGCTGTCAGCCCCTTCCGCAGCAGATCGGGATCGTTGCCGTTGGTGACCACGGGACGTGAAGGTATCGGCTGTAAGCTCATCCCATGTTTCCATTCCTGCAGTCTGCTCACCTGGGTTCTTCGGCCATCGCTGCAGCCAGGCGTGTCCGCAGTGTGTGCACAGCAATGGCCCCTGCCACCACGTGACGGGCCAGTGTGACTGCCTGCCAGGCTTCAAGGGAGCCCTCTGCAATGAAGGTATGATGGTGTAATTCTCTGGTGATACAGCAGGTGGCGAGGTACTTAAGGAACTAGACATTTTACGTTACAGAAGACAGGTGCAAAAGTGCATGCGATGAAGCAGCTTCAACTAAAATTATTTCAGTTATTACCATCAGAAGGATATTACAGAGTTCCTCTGGCCCGCAAGATTACATATAAAAAGTTGTTCATTCCCTCAGGCATTGGTGCACTAAATGCTTCAAAATGAGTTTTCTTATTGACTTTGTGACTTTTATTGGTTGTTTTTCTTACTTGTTGTGTTGTTTGATGATGTGTTATATATGAGTGTTTTTAGATGAAGAGGAATTTCAGTGTCTTTGTAAAAGACAATAAAGTTTTCTTGAATCTTCAAAGCACTGGTCAAACAAATAGAGAGTGAAAGGGTAGCAACTTTGCATGTTCAGAAGCCAAAGTGGCGGAGGTTCTGCAGGGTGTGATCACAGTGGAGCTTTGTGTCCTCTGTTTACCCTGCAGTGTGTCCCAGTGGCCGATTCGGGAAGAACTGCGCGGGGCTGTGCACCTGCACCAACAACGGCACCTGTAACCCCATTGACGGCTCCTGTCAGTGCTATCCCGGCTGGATAGGCAGCGACTGCTCCCAGCGTGAGTGCTGTGCCCCTAACAGGGGAGCCGTATTCATTACATCAGCCTCTCACTGCTTCTTGTTACACATTTCCTTTGAGGGCTTGTATTTCTTACAGCAAAGGCTGCCCTTTCATACTTGCTGCAGAAAGGGGTCACTCAGATGATAATACAGTCTCCCAGGGAATGATCATAGCTGTTGTGTAAGGGGGGGGGGTGTCACGGGGGCCTGTTGTCTTCTGTTGACTGTGAAATTAATTGCTGTATTTCACACTGCTAATTTATTTCAGAGACTGTTCTTCACTTATGATCAGTACAAAAAATACTCTATAGATTATTATAAAATAAATTATAGATGAATTAACTAGAAATTAATCTTGCAGTAATGAGCCTGTGCTCAATGGAAGAAGCTAATCCCTCTGTCTCATTTTTTTTGTTTAATTAAGGAAGAAAATAAATATTCACTTCTGTTTCTGCAATGGTGACAAATGTGCAATTAGGAATCTGTTTGAGTCTCCACACGCGCACAAAAATCTGAGCAACGCCATATTACTTAATCATCTTGTGACACTGTTTCAAATACAGAAATCAGTGTGACTTATTAAAAGGGCTTTAAATCCCCTTTGCACCATGAGCCCTCAGCTTCCGCTTCGGCAGTTCTCAGTGACCTCTGACCCTAGAGCCTGTCAGCCAATCATGACTCAGGGGCTGACTTACTGTACACACACTGTGGCATGTTGACCACTGACCCCATGGGACCTTTGACTTCATCAAATATAGAGTGAGCTAGAATGCTCTTCAACACATAGGAAAAGATTCTTAAAATCACATGCAAGCTGGGAGATTTTGATTTTGTCAGGTTTGAAACTTAATTGTGATACTATTGGCCATAATAACTATATAATAATTATTATTATTACCATTGTTGTTATTATTGACACTACTATTACTACTACTAATAATAATAATAGTAATAGACAAAAATACTTATTAGGTACCAAAAAAATGGATCATAGATGGAAATCACACAATCTGTCCTTATATAAACACATGTTGAACATGTTGAAGAATCATGGGAATTGTCTTATTCACAGTAGCTTTATGAAGCAATGTCTAAAGATTGGTTTTGCCGCCCCCTGCTGACGGAGTACATTTCAACGCGTGAACAACCTTGCCAAAGGCTCGTGAAAAACACTGCGTAGGCGTTTCTCCTTTAATGCCGTTAAAAAGGTCATCATAGTTCAGTTACCCTCATTGAAAAAAATGGGAAAATTGCAGCAATTAAAATATTTATAGTGGGTATCTTGTCTGCCTATTTTACTGCGTAGTAGGTATGCTTGTTTAGGCTAGTGATTCGTGTTATGAGTTATATTTTTTATTGGTAGTTTTGACCTGAAGAATATCAGGCGCTACTTAGTTCATCTATGCTGCTCATAGCTACTCAACAGTCGATGAGGTCATGTCACCCTCCCAATGCCCATCTTAAGCATGATGGCACACACAGTGCCAGTGTGGGAGGCTCCCAGTGAGACGACGTGTTGTTTTGCAGCCTGTCCGCCAGGCCAGTGGGGCCCCAACTGCATCCACACCTGCAACTGCCACAACGGGGCCTTCTGCAGTGCCTACGACGGCGAGTGCAAGTGCACCGCAGGCTGGACCGGCCTCTACTGCACGCAGCGTGAGTCCCCCGCTCGGCCTCCTCTACTTGGTTGTCATGGTGATGCAGTGACAGGTGTAGATGCAGCAGACAGTCACCCTCGAGGTGTTTGCGGGTGTGGGGGCCCTCACTGCGACGCTGCTTTGCAGGCTGCCCGCTGGGCTTCTACGGGAAGGACTGCTCCCAGATCTGCCAGTGTCAGAACGGGGCCGACTGCGACCACATCTCAGGCCAGTGCACCTGCCGCACAGGCTTCATGGGAAGACACTGCGAGCAGAGTGAGTATGCAGCAGGGGCTTATGGGTAATCAGGACAATGCTAATGGACGTACACTGAGGCACCCTTAAACTGTCACCCTGTTAAGGGTGGCGGCCTTGCTTACCCAAAGCGCAGGGGTAATATACCCTTTGGGATGGTGTTAGATTAATGAACGGCTCTTTATACTCCTAAAACTGTGTCTCATTGGAGGAAGCTTGAATACTGTTTACCAAGTTAATTAAGCCAAAGTATCTTCATTGTCATCTTCAGCTGTATATAGTTCTGATGATATCATATTAGGCATGAGTTGTATGGACAAGATCGTGCAATAACAGATTAATTAATAAGCTTATTAAAATGTCTTCACTTAGCAAAATCCAGATGTTTCCTACATGCTCATGGTCATCCGTCACACTCAGCTGGAGCCCGTAATCATGTCAGGAATTAATTCTCTTGAGCCTTCTTCCTAACGCTATTCCTGGCCGCTGGCTTCAGAATGCCCCCCTGGCTCCTACGGCTACGGATGCCGTCAGGTCTGCGAGTGCCTCAACAACTCCACCTGCGACCACATGACCGGCACCTGCTACTGCAACCCAGGCTGGAAGGGCGCCAGGTGTGACCAAGGTGAGGACACCCTGTCATCCCCCCAGCCACTGACAGCATCAAAGCAGCTGTCGGCAGGATGTTGGCTGTTTCTGTGCTTGATAGTTGGAGTGGGTCCATATACTCTAATCCTCCGTGAAGAGCAGACACATTTAGGGGTGGATCTATTAGCCTTTGTGTTTAAGGTCCTTATTATTATTAAGCCGATTGAAAAAGTGTCACATATAGATTAGATTAGATAGCTATTTTCTTACACTTTACCCGTTCAGAGGCAGAGATGTATTTTGATGGAAACGCTTTAGGCTAACGGCCTAATGCAGGTGGAGACGTGTTCAAAGCTGGGCAGTGTTATTACTGGGCACTCATCTCTTTAAAACATGTCCCATCGGTTCCACTTAAGGTGGAGATTCTGGGTTTCTGCCGGGTGTGGGACCTGAATCTACAACCATATGCTTTCTAAGTCACCTGCTCATGTGCCCTAGCTTAAAAAGACCTGTAGACCATGAGTGACAGGCGTTCTCCCACCCCCCCCACAGCTGGTGTGATCATCGCAGGCAACCTCAACAGCCTGACCAGCACCGTGGTCCTAGCCGACTCCTACCAGATAGGAGCCATAGCCGGAATCGTGGTCCTGGTGGTCCTGGTCCTCTTCCTCCTGGTCCTCTTCGTCATCTACAGGAGGAAACAGAAGGGAAAGGAGCCCACCATGCCAGCCGTCACCTACACACCGGCCGTGCGTGTCATGAACACAGACTATGCTGGCGCAGGTACGCACTGCCCTCGACACGCTTCACTGTGCTTCCAGTGTAGCCATAATTTGATTGATTTATTGATTCATCGTTTGATTGCGTTGTTATTGATTAATTGAACATAGTGCTAACCGGTGCCCCGTAACCCCACAGAGACCCTACCACAGACTGGTGAGGCACACCCAAACAGCAACTACTTCTCAAATCCAAGCTATCACACACTGACCCAGTGTACCAGTCCCCCACACATCAACAATATCCCCTATGGGAAGGTGAGGCGTGTGACACGTGCAGAGTGTTTGACAGGGGACAAGGGTTTCCCTTGCGGTCGAGAGCTTGATCTCATCAGAGGTCATCAACAGGCAAAGAACAACCAGCTGTTTGTGAACCTGAAGAACGTGGACCACAGGAAGCGGCCGCCGTCGGTGGAGCACACGGGCACCCTGCCGGCGGACTGGAAGCAGGGAGGATGCTTCAACGAGCTGGGTACGGCCGTGTGCACACTGCTGCCACTGACAGCACGGGTCCCTCTGTCAGGCAGTACACCTTTCATATTATCCATTCTATTCGGGCTGAGCAGCAGAACTGGGAGAACCTAAGCGTTAAAACCTCCAGTGGGGCGGGATTGCCTCATACTGCCAATCACTGCTTGATTTAACCCAGTGGGATCCAATTAAGTAACCAAATGGAAGTGGGCTTTGCGCTTGTTTTCTGACATAACATAATCCTTCCCACTAAGGCTTTCAAAGCCTTATTTTCTCCTACTTCATCACTTACTCGGCACATTTATCCAGTGCAACTTAACATCCAACCGAATGCTCATCTGCATAGCAATGCAGGTTAGTGCTGGTTTCTAACCACTGCACAGCCGAGGTCTTGCATTTCTCGCATTTTTTTCCTGGCAGTTAATGAGAACTGAAACTCTCTGCAAAGGACCCTAGAAAGGCTGAGAATTTGTCGAACCCAGGAATCAAATCCTTGTCCTCTTGCTCTGGAGGATGGTGCTGATTCCATGACTTTTTTTATTCCATTTTTTTTATTGAGTGCCCAGAAAGTAGACGGTAGCAGAAATATTTATGAGGGAGTCATTGTAGAATTGAGCCTTTCAAGCAGACTGTGTCAAGCTCACCAGCCAGGGGTCCTTCAGGATCGAGAGTTTAATATCTGTGTGTTTTCAGGTTCATTTAACAGTGAGTTACTGTCTTCTGCGTGGTCATATCTGACCGCAGCAAACGTAGTTCATTATTGAACAACTTGTTCTGTTGTAGCACTAGGTTTGATAGTGGAAATGCTGATAAGAAATGACCCAGTTGTGGATTACAGCTGTTACAGTTGTTTGTTCTCACATAGCTGTAGATGGAGAAAAATTGTCCAATGCAACAAAATAAAGCTGACCTCATGTTTGTTAAAAACAGACTGAAACAGACTTAGAAGTCTCATCAGTGAATATATTCTGATACCGGTTCAATACAACCCAGCTAAGAATACTATCACTCTAAAAAAAACTCTGTTGGCAAGAAATACATATTTTTTTTAATAATAAGAGCATAATCCTGGAAGTGCTGATCCAAGTCCTTCCGAAAGAGGTTTTTAGTGTTTACGTGTAGAGTTGCATGTCATTCTCCAAGTACTCTGGTTGTCTCCCAGAATCCACAGACATGTGGACTGCGACTCAGATTTACCCAGAGTCTGTGTGGGTGTGTGGTTGCCTTGCCATGGACTGCGTCCAGTGTTTACCCCACCCTTTGTACCCTTTGATGCCAGGGATAAACTCCAGAACACCCCCCCCCATAGATAAATATACATCATAGGTCATTCTTTGGATTTTGTGGGTTTCCCCATAATTTTAACACAAATAAAAATGAACTTGGGTAAAATGGTTTGTTAGAAATACCTTTCCTTCTTTTTTATAGGAGCTTTTGGAGTTGACAGACGCTATATGGGAAAATCCCTTAGAGGTAATGATGTGATATTTATGATCCTTTTAAATATTTAGATTAAAAGCCCTCATTCTGGTGTCTGGAGTGCAGACTGTGAGTGACATGTTTGTTGCTGTCCCCCGGCCATCTCTGCCCTAGACCTGGTGAAGGGGACCCCCTACCATGCCAGTTCCTGTTCCCTGAACAGCTCCGAGAACCCCTACGCCACCATCAAGGACCCGCCCCTCTTGCTGCCCAAGAACACGGAGTGCGGCTACGTGGAGATGAAGTCGCCAGTCCGGCGGGACTCGCCCTACGCGGAGATCCACGGCTCCAGCCCCGCCAACAAGAACGTGTATGAAGTCGGTGAGGGGCATGACAGCTTACTTACCAAGCCATTACAATCCTAGTAAAGGACTCAACGCAGCAGTGTCTGAAAAGATCACTAACGATGCTGCTCCTCTGGGCAGTCATGGCTTTTTTATAGTCGTGAAATATAATTGGTTTAAAAATTAAAACTGTTAATTTTTTTTTATTTCCCCTAGAACCTACAGTGAATGTTGGCCATTCAGTCAGCAACAATAACGGACCCCTCGGCCAGGACCCGTACGACTTACCAAAGAACAGCCACATCCCCTGTCATTACGATCTCCTGCCCACACGGGACAGCCCTCCCTCACTGCACAAGGAGCTGGGCGAATGAGCTGTCAGAGACTCTAAGGGACCATGTGACTCCGCCCTGGCCACGTGCCGTTTCCCCGCTCCGCTTCCTCACATCCCCTTCACCAGTATGCTGTTTGTTCTGATTCGTATTTACTTTCACTGTAATCATTCTAAATTGTGCTTGTCCGAGTTCTTCTTTTATTTGACATTCAGATAAATCTCTGAGTCTTAAGTTCTTCCAGACGCTATCGTCTTATACAAACATGTTTCATCAGTGGTTCAGCGACGAGTAACGTGGGTTGAGATTGGAGTCTGGTTTTGTATTTTAATGGTTGTTTTCAGCATGCAGCTTCCTAAATGACCAGATAACAGTTATTAGGGTGAACAGATAATCCATGTCATCCCGGACACCTTGAGCTACTTCAGGTTTTACAAACTACCTTAAAACCGAAAGGCTCCTGCGTTTGCCTAAATTGTTCAGTTCTTCTTGTGATTTGACTGGTTTGTTTCCTTGACTGAAAGACTCATCCAGCTGTTGCACATTAACATGATTATAGGAGACTGACCAATCAGCACACAACAAGAACTCGGTGCTTGAGTGAAATCCAGGTCCTTTTAATTGAAATGGTAGGTTACAAATCCTGTCCTAGCTCAAGGTGTCCAGGATGACATGGGTTATCTGGTCACCCTAACAGTTATGCTTCAAACACAGACTTCATCAACATGACACCTAACTGGGTATATGGAACAAAAAAAATCATGGAAGGATGGATGAATGGATGGATGGACGGATATTTAAATCATTCCACTCATTATGCATATCACTTGAGTCTTCTATAATATACAGATATGAAACAAATTTCTATTTTTTTATGGAGGAATAACCATTGGCAGTATTATACAATTGGCCAATCGATACGATTACAAGGTGTAGTCGCTTTAGTGTTTTTTGAAAGTGGAGTGGATAATAGTACTGTACTGAAACATCTGAAATAATTTTACATCACTTATTTCTTGTTATTATCGAAGATGCTTAATATTGCTAATCTGTAAATGGTCAATCAGTACTAAGGATAACCAAAGTGCCATAGTAACCTTCAGTGTCTGATTTATTAAAAATTCACATTGCAGGTAGAAATGTATAGAAGGACCAAGGCCCCACTGCACACCTGAGTGAGCTGTCAGCAATTTTTAAATCAGTGCAGCAGCTTGTTAAAATTTTGCCACATGTCTTTATTTGTTCCTTAAACGATTAAATGTCTGCCACAGCACAGGGGTGTCAGATCTGGGAATATTTATCCCTGATGCAGGTTCTCTGACAAAGGATTAAAAATGAAGCATATTAACTTCAGATGATATAACCCAGGACCCTCCAGATATGGCCCACGATTCCAAATCCAGGCCATGTTTTCAGTTCTCCCAGGTAGTTAATTAGTGATTCTGATTGACCAGAGGCTTCACATCTGGCTCACAGGTAAAGGAAGGCTGGAAAACCAGCCGGGCTCAGCCCTAGAGGACCGTGATTTGAATAGCCCTGATATAACCAATACAGACCAAAAGTACGTCTCTGCAATGAAATAACAGCACTATTTAACACCCCTACACCCACTCTGATATTTTACAAAAAAAAAAAATACTGAGTTAAATCCATGCTTAAGCTGGTCTTTTGCATCAAAGAAAGAAAAAACATTTTGGAAACCATGATTAGATAGATACGAAAATGCTTACTTCATTGACTTTTTTTAACAATTTAAATATCTGTATGTATTATTTTGGAAGTTATTTTCATTTCTACTGAATGACACAAGGACAGTCACTAGTCTTGAACTATTCTGAGCCACGTGTGAGAAACCATTGTACAAACACTGTATATAGCTGTAAATCACTTTAAAACATAAGTGATGTGTGGTGTTGACATGTAAACATGACAAAATGCTCTGTTTTCCCTGTGTGATGCAGCATAGTGTGGATGGTAGGTGAGTTTTGCACCCTAAACTTTGCTGTCAGAGGTTCATTTAGCATATGCAGAAAAAATGTATTATGTTTTACTTAATTCCTAAATTCTTTTTTTACAAATTACCTGTAGACGATGATACAATTGTATATTAAATGTTTTTATTATTATTTTTGATCACAATTTAGGCAAATATAATTCTTTTTTAGCTTCAAAATTGTAAAATGTGCATATGGGAAAATAAAAAAGATATCCATTGGATTGTATTATAAATACAACGGCAATATGTATGTATGTGTATATAATTTGCAGTGTAGCTCATTTTGGTTTCTAAGGTTTCTTTTCATTTGTAAGGGTACTTAAAAATTGCACACTCAGTTCAACCTCTGTCCCCAAAGAAGTCTGAAGACAGTGAAATTTCCTTATGACACTATCTTTTACACATACTATAAATTGCTTTTTGTTGCTGTAGATTACCTGTATGCGCCAGAGCCTTTCAATAAAATGACCTCTCTGTTCACCTCCGCGTCAGTATGACAGGATGCATCGTTTGATAAACTGAAATGAGATTTTGCTAACGGTGATATCAAAATTTATAAACTTCACAATTAAATTATTTGCAATCTAGTGTAAAACTTTTAATTGAATTGTTACAGTGCCAGCATTTTTAACTATCCGTGCCTACTAGCTATTAACATTTTGTACTGTACATTTCCTGTCAAAGATATCAGTTTTTATCATTGTTTTTATAATCGCACCGTTATTCACATAGATAATGTAATATTTTAAATTATTTAAAATGTATTTTTAATGTTCCCATCTAATCTCTTGTTGTAACTTTTGTATTCAACGGGACAATTGGTATACACAAGCTAGCTGTTATAATTTTAATGTAAAGCATTTTAGCACTGCCGCTGCTCAGCTGGTGCGTTTTCTGCGACCGAAGAATAGCAAGTAAAGTAACGTGGTATATGCGGGCTACATAAATCAAATCAATGTATACAAAGCCGCACAGGCAATACACTATTTTGTTTTGGGCAGCTTTGATTAAGCTACACAAAGTCGGCAGCCCTTTTACGCAAAATACGTAAATCAAGCAAATATCGTAAGGTACGGGAATGATCAATTTCCGTAGGTTGCCCGAATCGTGTAAGTAGCATTAATTTCAATCGCGTCTGTTCTTCAATTGCGTTTCAGACGTAGCCTTTCATTTTAGGCACACAGCAATAACTTATACAATCATGTAATATTAATATATATGATGTATTTATATGTGTCCTGCTGTTGTGTAATTGTAGCATTAATTATATTTGGTTCAGTATAACTAAGTATTTTTTCATCCCACACCTGTAATCAGTGCAATGTTTTATGAAATCTCTAGAAATTCGATATGTCATTTGAATGGCTATTCTAACTACTTTACACTGTTTCTTATTTCCCTGTTCTGTTTCCATCTCAGTGTTTAATCTTCACTGTGAGGCTTTTGTGGGCTTCTTGCCTTAAAAAGCTCGAAGTTTAAAATTGCAACATGTTGAACATGACATTAATGTGGTTAAAAAGTAAAATATTATCTTTTGTCAATGATTCAAAGTATTTTTTGTCACAAGAACCAAGTTCTTACTGGTGTGTTAACCCACAGGCTCATAACATATGCACAGAAATAAAATGACACCACAGTGGTACAGGATGAGGTTAGATTAAGTGCCTGTAGCAGCACTAGATTATGTAACAGTTAGAAAACTGACCCTGAATCTTGATGTCTGGGTGTTTATGGTCTTGAGCTGCTCGCCAGAGGGGAGAAGGGGGAACAGAGCCAGTGCAGGATGACTGGCGTCCTTTATGTGTTTTTCATGCATGGCTCTTCTGCTGCCACAAGTAGACCTCATCACCTCCATCTGCAGAGTCCCTTCAGGAAACATCTTAGGACTCATCTCTTCCAGAAAACTCCCCTGCAGCTCTCTGTCTTGCCAGCATTGGCTGCTAATTTGAGGCTGCAATAGTTAGCAGTCAAGTGATCAGATTTCAATTCTCAGTGTGACATTTTTCCTGATTTTCTAGGTCAGCTTTGAGGTGCTGTGTCCCACGGCAGGTTAGAGATCTCTGCCTATATCCAGAAGGCCATGGGTTTGAATGTCATGGCCAGCAAAATGATCATATCACTGTCAGGCCCTTAAGTAAAGCCCTTAGCCCTATAACTTCTCAATGACCCCAAGCATTCTGTGAGCATTTACATCACTCTGAGTAAAAGTCTCTGATACACTATATTGTCAAAAGTATTGGGACACCCCTCCAAATCATTGAATTCAAGTGTTTCTATCACTTCCATAGCCACATGTGTATAAAATCTAGCACCTAGGCATGCAGACTCCTTCTGCAAACATTTGCGAAAGAATGGGTCACTCTCAGGAGCTCAATGAATTCAAGCGTGGTACCGTGATAGGAAGCCACCTGTGAAATAAGTCCATTTGTGAATTTTCCTTGCTACTAAATATTCAATGGTCAACTGTTAGTGGTATTATAACAAAGTGGAAGCAATTGGGAACAACAGCAACTCAGTCACAAAGTGATAGGCCATGTAAAATCACAGAGCAGGGACAACGCATGCTGAGGCGCGCAGTGTGCAGAAGTCGCCAACTGTCTGCAGAACTAGCTACAGACCTCCAAACTTCATGTGGCCTTCAGATTAGCTCAAGAGCAGTGCGTAGAGAACTTCATGGAATGAAGCCTTACATCACCAAGTGCAATGAAAAGTGTTAGATGCAGTGGAGTAAAGCACGCTGCCATTGGACTCTAGAGTAGTGGAGACGTGTTTTCTGGAGTGACGAATCACGCTTCTCTGTCTGGCAATCCGACGGACGAGTCTGGGTTTGGCAGTTGCCAGGAGAACGGTACTTGCCTGACTGCATTGTGCCAAGTGTAAAGTTTGGTGGAGGGGGGATTATGGTGTGGAGCTGTTTTTCAGGGGTTGGGCTTGGCCCCTTAGTTCCAGTGAAAGGAACTCTTAATGCTGCAGCATTCAAAGCCATTTCGGACAATTTCATGCTCCCAACTTTGTGGGAACAGTTTGGGGATGGACATGACTGTGCCCCAGTGTACAAAACAAGGTCCATAAGGACATCGATGTGCGAGTCTGGTGTGGAGGAACTTGACTGGCCTGCACAGAGCCCTGACCTCCACCCGATATGACACCTTTGGGATGAATTAGAGCGGAGACTGTGAGCCAGGCCTTCTCGTCCCACATCAGTGCATGACCTCACAAATTCTCTCCTGGAAGAATGGTCAAAAATTCCCATAAACACACTCCTAAACCTTGTGGACAGCCTTCCCAGAAGACTTGAAGCAGTTATACAGTACTGTAGCTGCAAAGGGTGAGCCAACTCCATATTAAAGCTTATGCATTAAGAACGGGATGTCATTAAAGTTCATGTGTGTGTAAAGGCAGGTGTCCCAATGCTTTTGGAAATATGGTGTACATTAATAAATGTAATACAATGGCATCACTTAGCACATCTGGATGTTGTGCTACCATTTAGACTGTGCTCTCTTTGTGCTGTTTATTTAAATGGCATTTCCAGTAATAGGTTCTAAGGTTTTTTGTGTAGATCTAGCAACATTTGACCCAAGGTTGGCTCCTTGACAGCTGTGAGTTTGTAGGGTAATTCACTTTGGACAGTGCCTGCTAAATAAATGTAAATGTTACATAATGTTAAGTGGTTTTGTTCATGTATGCTTTTGAATAATATTACCAATATGCACACCCGCTTTTTTTTTTTTTTTTTTTTAGAAGAAATCATTCATTTGTATGGTTAAGTGCTGAAAAATTAAAAACATATACATATAATCAGGTATATTTGTTTTAAAATAAATACGTAGTAGTTTCCTGTTGTTTTATTTATTTGCATATGTTACCTATGCGTCCTCTTGTACAACAAAAACATGTCGTTAGGTTAACTGGACTGACTAAATTACCACATATATATGCGCCTTGCGAGGGACTAGCATCCTGTCTAGGGTGTACCCCAACCCTGCGCCCAGCACTGCTTGGTATAGGCTCCAAACCCACCTGCAACTCAGCGCAGAATAAGCGGCTGGTAGACGGCTGCATAAATAAGTAGCCATCATTACTACTGACTGCGCTACTCTAAGGACGAGAAAGAATCGTATCTTTTTGGAAGTAAAAGCAGAAATATCAGTATAAATAAATTCTAAATTCAGTCTACAGTTCAGTAACGAGTTATTAGCCAAAAACCGAGCGGAGGCGCCCCCGAGGACACCGGCAAACATGCGTGGGGGAATCCTGCTGAGGGCCGCCCCCTTTCGCGTTAGTAAGACGTGGCAATTCTTTGCGTCATCGCATCGCGGCCATTTTCCACACTTTTTAGTGTTTGGGTCTCCCCTCCCTGGCACCGAAAAATCGCATTACTTTCCGATTGATTTCCCCGTCTTTCTGCAGCTTCCAGGGCATTGAGGATAAAGGTAGGATTGCGTTTCGTTCGTGGATTTGCAGAATACACCCACCGGCCGATTGTCACCGGGGCTGAACGCGATATCTGGCCCATATACTACATCTGACTGAACCATCAGTGGGCGCATAACTTGCAGAACAATGTAAAGTCGCATAGCATTAAGTTACAATGGCTCTATAGACTTTACAGTTGCATCCCTTTATATGCTGCGGAGGAGGTTGAGGTTCGGCCTGACACGTGGGACGGCGCAGTAATGTAACGCCGGATATCTTGCTTATAAAACACAAGCGCTGCTCACCGGCACTGCTAGGGTTACTTAGAAATGGTTGCTAGTGCAGTACGCCTTAATAATGGAATGTAATAATGTGCAATCGGTTTACACATGCACCTGAAAACATAGCTCTGGTTGACGGTGGTGTCCAGCTCCGGAACGGAGATGGTCCGGGAAGACGTGGCACCACGGCCTGCTACAGCAACAAGTATTTGTACCAGAGCAGCATAAATGTTTAAAACGTAGAGCCAGAATTACATCTCAATCATGCGTGCAACTTTACTAGATTTTTCTTTAAAATTCAGAATGGTGTTAAAGGGCTTATTAATGAAGTTGTACTGAAATTGCTTAGGGGAGTTTGTTTAATGCACCCCACTTGGTTGATTTGGTAAATTTTGAAACTCGGTTTTAGTTTTGTGAGGTTTGGTTGTATCGTTTGACTAATAGAGAGTACAGGAAGTGCTTGGTTTCTGGTTACACAAAACAACTGGTTTGTAAGAAATACTGTCATATCCTCCTGAGACCCGACCTATTCATTTATGTCCATTTTAGTGGACATTGCATTTTTGCATTTATTTTTTCATTGATGTTGGGAAACGTATTTATTCTTGTTGTGCACTAAAGAGGACATGCTGTGAAATTAAAATAAGAATAAATTTGAAAAAATCTAAATTGAAAGATGTCTTATTTCCTCCAAAGACAAATAACCTACAATTGAAGGACACTTTTTTCCTTGGGTCTCAGGAGGATATAATGGTCTGTCTGGATAGGTTTTTAAGGTATTGCAATAGATAAATTGAAGTTTCATTAAAATTAAATTGTAATCCTGCTGTCCACAGTGGGCACCATCCATCCATCCATTATTGTGACCGCTTAATCCCCACTGGGGTCGTGGGGGGCCCAGAGCCTATCCTGGGAACAACGGGCGCAGGCGGGAACCAACCCTGAGCGGGCACCGACACACCGCAGGGTGCGCACACTCACCCAGGCACACGCACACTCACCCAGGCACACGCACACTCACCCAGGCACACGCACACTCACCCAGGCACACGCACACTCGCACGACTACAGGGCCAATTTAGACATGCCAATCAGCCTACCCTGCACGCCTTTGGGCTGTGGGAGGAAACTGGAACCCCCGGTGAAAACCCACGCAAACACGGGGAGAGCGTGTGAACTCCACACAGAAAAGACCCGGGTTCGAACCCAGAACCTTCTTGCTGTGAGGCAGTAGTGCTAACCACCAGTGAATACTTAATTACTGCCCAACACTGCATTTTCACTGTTAAATGTATTTATGGTTGGTATGTAGAGACTGGTGCGCGAAGATGATGGAAGAGAGTGGAATTGAGACGACGCCCCCCACTACGCCCTCTCCCCCACCCAGCATGGCGGCACTGAGCTCACCACCCATGTCCATTGGTAAGAAAAGTCAATCGAATTAACAACACAACTTATTGTATGTACTTAAATCTGACAATTTTTAAAGCTGGAGACACTGAGTGTGTAACATCGGATTAGGCCTCCGTGAATGGGATCAGAAGGTTGCTGGTTCAAATCCCATACTGGGCAGAATATTCACTTTGGCTTTGGGCCCTTGAGCAAAGCCCTTAACTAGTTGGAAAAAAAAAATATTCCTGCAGCACCGCATGGACAGCTGACCCTACGCTCAGACCCCAAGTTTCACTCTTTTGTGTGTGTGTCTCAGAGAGCAAGATGGGATATGAAAAAACTAACATATTCTAATGTACCTGTACTCATAGTTGTGCAAATGACAAGTAAAGCATCATTTACTTAAAATACCTCTAAAAATGAAGTACTTACTGGTGGTGAGACTTCCTGTCACCAGTGTGGATATAAGCTTCAGCTTTATTGAGGGCTACCTGAAAATGACCTGAGATTAAGCCCCTGTGTTTAGTGATGGTTTGGGTCCTTTTCTTTGTAAAAGTCTCAGTCTATGTCTGTCGTTTCCCTTCCAGGTCTGTCTAGTCCCCTGACCCATCCTAGTACAACCGGACAGCCTCCCTTCACCCCCCAGGGATTCTCCACACCGGTCCCGCCCATCATGTCCGCACCGGTCCCGCCCATCATGTCCGCACCGGTCCCGCCCATCATGTCCGCACCGGTCCCGCCCATCAGGTCGTCGGCTCCGCCCCCCTTTGGCAGCCCTGTGGGTGCCGTATCTCCTGGCTCACACGTCCCGCCGCCCGTTGGAGTTCCCTTTGCTGGGCCCCCTTCGACTTTTTCCTCCACGTTGCCGCCCCTGAGTGGCCCTTCCCTGCCGGGCCCTGTCATGTCGGCTTCACCTACTGGCCCCCCCACCTCCGGCTTCATGGGCGGAGCCTATGACATCACACGGGGTCATGCTGGGCGGGCACCACAGACGCCGCTCATGCCCAGCTTCTCTACCGCCCCGCCTCCCCCTGGTGAGTCCCCGATCATACTCCCCCCCCCCCCCCGATTTAAAGGGCAGGATGTGGCCCAGAATCGGACTCCCCTGGCTCAGTGCCTTCCCACGTTCCCTGTTATTTTTCTTCGATGGTTCAGGCAATTTGTCCCAAAACCCCCCATTAACTGTGGGTCTGTCAGCTGGCCTGATCTGGCCTGGAGATCGAAGACTGCCTGTTTTAGGCAGGTCATGCCCCCACATCTGCGCTCCCCCCTCGTACCCCCGGCCCGTCACGCCAAGCCCTGGAGGAGGTCTCCATATGCATCGCATTCATTATCATTATGTGCTCTTGAACATTGAAATAAGGGGCAGTTTTTAAATAATCATTAAAATCTTTCTGCCCAGATGATGTGAACCCCATCATCTTGTACTCGTCGATGTCATCGGTTGGCCTGGAAACGAGCCTGATATTCTCTGCGTTAAACCTGCGTGTCTGATCCACCAGCGGCGTCGAGATGAGCTGCAACGTTTTATTGATTTTAAAGAAGACATTATAGATTATGGCTGCCCCCTCCCCCCCCACACGCCTCACTCTCTGAATACCATTTATATTACAATTTACTGTCTGCTGAAGTCTTTCGAACCTTAAAAACATCAGAATCGGCTGAAGGTCATTTCCGTTCTCTGTCGGTGTCTATCTGCATTTTTATGGACCTAGCTTTAATTGCTTTTTGAAATGTGTCCTTTTTATAATTTTATAATTAGTCTGGGGACATTCCTGTCGGTTAGGGGCCTCGTTTTTATCAATCGCTAGGGCCCTGCGGCCGCTGGGGCCTGGCAGAGGCTTTTTCTCTAAGGTCCAGCTCGTGTGGGTTATTCTCCCCTGCGCTGCTGTGGCCTCCTGACCGCTCAGGTGAAATGGCTGCGCTCTGCTGACCCCAGGAAGTTTCTGTCCTGCTCAGTTGAGTTGGGTGGCATCTGTTGTGTAGGGTGATCTGGGCAAACCTGGCGAGGAAGATAAATTCTCTTTTTGTCTTTGTTGTAATTGCCAATACTTGTTGCTTGTTGCAAGGCAGCTTTTTGATTCCAGTGTTGAAGTGGACGGTGTAAAAGTAAACAGTGTCAAGGAGGAGAGTTTGCGTGATATGATATCATAGGTGAACAGCTGGTGAGATGTGAGTTTTCTTGGTGATGCCGTCACTTGTATTTTGTTGAGGAGGCTCCCTCAAAGTCAAGCTCGTAATTGGCCGCGGAGTAGGTCGACAGGATGCTGGCCAAAGCTGACAGGCTGCCGGGTTTCTTTCCATCAAGGGGTCGTGACCAATCCGATGGTGCAGCAGACTGTGATGCCGCCGGGCCTGGAGGCCGACTCGCCCATCACATTCCCCGAGGACAATGAGGACCTCCGGCCAGTAGAGGGGGCCAATCCGGGCGGAATCTGGGGCTTCATCAAGGTGGGTGAGAGCATAGCGTTGGGCGTTGAGGGACGTCGTGGTGATGCCTCTGGAGCTTCCCGGCTGGTACCAGGCATTTCGGCTCCAATGCTCGTCGGGTCGGGCCGCTCAAATTGAACGAAAAGCTCGCTGAACAGCTGCCAGCACATTTGTTCTGGAGCGTAATTGGCTTCCGGTACCGTCTCCCAGGAATGCTGCACCGTTTCCAGTGGTTTCCAGCACGGAACGTGCTGTTCGTCCTCCTATTAAGAGTGCTAATGGTCTGGCTGGGTGCCACGAGACTTGGCGAGGCGGCTTGTGTGTGTGTGTGTGTGTGTGTGTGGGGGGGGGGGCATTCTTGGTCTGTTTTCCTCCCATTTCCTGTTCTAATTCCTCATGGCTGATGGAATAGTGGAAGTACAGCTACAGATCAGTCCCTGATTGTTTTTTGTGTTGACTGTAGACCAGGCTAAATGCTGAAGCCTCAGTGCCATTAGCTACAGTTTGGTAATAAATTATTGGCTTGTGGCTCAGTTGCTCATTAAAAGCCGATTGGAGGAATCCATACAGGGGTGTGTCTTAGACGGGCTGTGTGCGGCCAATGGCTGCAGCCCTGTCATGTGTTGAGCCTCCTCCCTAGTGGAACTTATCACCGGTGCCAAGTTCATTCAGGTTTCACTCATATTAACTTCAGATTAACGTGAAATGTTGACACTCTCTCTCTCTCTCTCTCTCTCTCACTCACACACACACACACACACACACACACACACACACACACACACACACACACACACAAAGGAATTAACTAAAATGGACATTAGCAGATAAGCCCTGGTGGTTTCCTTGAACTGAAGAAGCGTCCTGTGATTGTTTTATATCTCTCGTAGCCAGTACAGGTTTCCCCTGCTATCCGGAAGTATAGCATTTCTGTGAAACTATTCAAAAGCAGAAATAGTGTAAAGCGGTTACCATTAATTTATATGATGAAAATATTTTGTGTTCCCAGCCCGAAGAAATAACCTACCAAATCATACCAAGTAACACATATAACCGAAAATAAATTAAGATATAGCTACAGCAGGAATGATAGGATAAATACACAGGTAGGTATAATGCGTCTACGGTGTAGTTTCACTTACCAGAATGAATATATTCATGTGTCACTGTTTATCAAAATGAAGTATTGTGTATGTGCAGTGCTTTTATATGACACAGTAGGTTTGTTTACAGCCGCATCACCACAAACACATAATACGTTGCGCTATATCATAATGACGGCTGCGATGCCGCTAGGAGATAGGAATTTTTCAGCTCCATTATAAAGTTATCAAACTACCATCGTGTATGCAGTCTGTCATTATGCGACGCATGGCTGTGTATCATTGGCTTGCTGATAAACACTGAACACTGTTTTTGGGCTTTTCTTTTTCCCATAAAGGCATTAATCCTCTTCGGATTTCTTTTGGAATAGCGAGTAGAGCTAATATAGGTCTTTCCTAAAAGCAAAGTTGGGTATACAACTACTCAAATTTAGGTTTCTAAGGTTACAGCACCTTATGAAATCACTCTACAGGGCGTCTGATGTTTGGCTTTCAGCTGTGAACTGCATGTTCATGTCCTATAGTTGTGCCGTGGTCCCGCTCACTTCGGTGTCAGTGCTCTGCATTTTTTCCCATGATCCTTGTGTGTGTGTGGGTGTCTCCTTCGATCAGGGCGTGGCGGGGAATCCCATGGTGAAGACAGTCCTGAATAAAACCAAGCATTCGGTGGAGTCCATGATCACCACGCTGGACCCCGGCATGGCGCCATATATCAGTAAGTGACTCCAGCGCCACCTGATGACCTAGGACAGACTGACAAGCAAGCATGTGGAAAAAGATACTGGAATATATTTGCATGTTTCTGATTTTTTTTTGATGTGAATGCGAATCCTGTAAGCTTGATGTGGAATCAGGTTCAACATAAAACATGATGAAGTTTTTCAGTCGAAGTGTATAACGATCTTCTGGTTTGGCAGTGAGGGACAGTAGGGCTGTTCCTCCATTGTCAACAAGGAGGTAGACAGGCTGTTGTGGCTCAGGATCAGTTTCAGTGTCTCAACCTTCAATGTAATAGTTTCTGGGAATAGTGTTGCTGTACTTGGGCATTAAGGGGTTAAAGTGTAGTCTCGCTGGGTTGATTTATGGTGACCTTAACGTGGTCGTTGGTCATGTGCCGATACTGTTGATATAATTACAGTATGAAGTGATTAACAGTGAATAAATGCCTTTTTTCTGAAAAACATGCCTGTTATCCTAATTAATATACGAGTTTGACACAACAGCGGATGTGAATAATTACCTTTTTATATTGTATGCATGTCTCTTAGATTAATCTCCCGATAGGGTAAGGCGTGTTAAGTGCATTGTCAATAAAAAGGTGATTTGTTGAATCAGATCAGCGGATGCCCTGCCCGTGGGGAGGGGGTGTGTCTCCATGAGCGCCGAGGGAGGCGGGTGTCGCGTCGGGTTTGTGTGTGTGTGTGTGACCAAAATCTCCCCCCCCCCCCAAAAACCAGAATCCGGCGGCGACCTAGACATCGTGGTGACCTCTGATAAGGAGGTGAAGGTGGCAGCAGTGCGGGACGCCTTTCAGGAGGTGTTTGGACTCGCCATGGTGACGGGGGAGGCCGGTCAGTCCAACATCGCCCCCCAGCCTGTGGGCTATGCGGCCGGGGTTAAGGTGAGACGTCCTCCCACCCAGTTGGTCAGCTCACCATTTAAACTAATACTGAAAATGTTCTGGTATGGGAAATTTTTATAGGGCTTCATAGGGAAACAAACAAGGTAAATTCCTCTTAAAAAGCTCTCATGAGCCTTTCCTGAAGGTTTGGGAGGCAGTTTGGCCAAAGTACGTGTATGAAATTAAGAAGCTTCAGAAGATGTGTAGAATAATCCAAGTTGCTATAGTTCAGTTTTAATATTTCATGGCAGTCATTCCTCATGCACACATTTATCGGCAAGATGGAAAATGTGTGCTCGACGCAGAATAATCGCAACCTTGAGAAGCATGTCGAATGAGCGTTTTTAATTGTGTATACTGGAAATGTATCTGCTGTTTTTGTGATAATGCAGTTATTCTAGTCAGTGTAACGTGAATGGAAATGTGAAGGGAATAATATAAGTGAGGTAATGGATCGTTTGGCTGCACGAAATTTCAGGCTGATTCTTATGTAAATTCCAGATTAATTACTGCAGGCTTTTTTGCAGCGTGTTGGCATTCGGGTGCAGTCTGAGGTTGCGGGGTGTGTTTACTCATGGGGTGGGGGGGTTCAGGAAGGGATGACCGTGCTGGGGTGACCGCAATGTGTCCATGTGTCTCCAGGGAGCTCAGGAACGGATTGACAGTCTCAGGCGGTCGGGCGTCATCCACGAGAAGCAGCCTGTTGTCTCTGTGGAAAACTTCATTGCCGAGCTCTTTCCTGACAAGTAAGCCCCCCCCCACCTCGATTAACACCCACCATCATCGCCCCCCCCCAGCATGGACGTTCTTCAAAACGACCATCTCGTCTCCCCGCCTGGCTCAGCTGTTACTGCTGCCCAAGGTGACCCAGAAGGCAAAGTGGCTTGTCCCTCCCACCAGCCGAATCTCCCCCACCCCCCCCAGCATGTCCGGCCGGCGCCCGCCGAAGGTTGCAAGCGCACAGGCAGAAATAAATATCGACTTTATTCCGCCCGGCCCCGCTTGGGGCAATGGGAGGCAAGCGAATTGCATTTAGCCCCAGTGGATGTCAGAAATGAGTGATGTTGTTATGGCGATACAGTGGAGGGGCTGCACTAAGATCGTGCCGAGGGGGGGCTCACTGCCCCCGCCTTTCTGATGATACTGGGTTTGCTCTGTTGCACTATGTCTCTGTCTACTGCCACATTTGCTTCTAAGTATATGAAATTCCTGTCAGGTTAATGCGCTGAAGGAGGGTCTGCTTCCTGTTCCCCAGAAGAACATAAATCCCTGTATGAGCTACTGTAGGATGGCTGTCCCTTAACAGGCGACGCCGGAATGCATCTCTTAGCAACAGTTGTGGGCTGGAGAGCGCCCCCTAGTGTCCCGTGGCCACCTGTGAGGCTGGGAAGGACTTCGGTGATCAGCCGTTCTCACTGGGTGCCGCCTAGTGAACGATAAGCCTCCCTTTAGCTGGCATAAATAGCTGTTATTATTCAACAGTAATTTGTCAATGTCATTGTTGTAAATCCCCACTGTTATTATTTTAATTTCTTATTCCGCTTGAAC